AGGTTTAAGCTATGCTAAAGAAGCTCCAAGGTCAGCTTATTTACGATATTTCTCTATTTGTGTACTCATATGAGCGCACCAATGTTTCGTGTAAAAAAAGGACAGGAAAAGAAAGCAAGAGGAAGGAAATAAAAAAAGGTGGGAGGCCAAGTTGGCAAATAGTAGTTTCTTTTTTTCAGAATAACAAAAACAAAAAAAAACAAACAACTTTTTAAATCAAAATGTACGGTAATAAAGTGGTTCGTTTCGCCCCATAACTCAGATGAACCACTTTATTCCCATCAACCCCCGGGGCAAAGTACGTCGTAATCCGACTCTACATACATAAATAGCAGACCTTTTCGCTACAAACGAAGCAAAAATAAACTTCTTTGAAAAAGAAATAAAAACGGGCTTCATGTATGATATCGTAATCTTCAGCAAGGGACCAAAAACTTTACTGACCTTCCTTCAAAGAATGAATAGGAAACAGAGAGTTCCTAAGTTCTCTGAGAATTTGAAATTTTGGCTTCTAAAAGCAACTAAAAAAGATTTCGACAAGAAATTCCAATGCAATGCGATGTTCTGAACGTGGAATTCGAATGTTATCGTGCAGAGAATATTGAAGCAATAATGGGACAAAAGCTTTCGGGATGGTGCTTTCTCCCCTGCAAAAAACGCAATCCTGACAAGGGCTATCCATCCACGTTTCGCGGACCATCAATGCTCTAACACGCACTCTCACTGACCATAATATTTAACGGATTGGCACGTATTTAACCCAGCACTCACCAAAGCACTGAGCGCAGTGCGCAACCAGCTGCGCAATCGTCTGCGGTACGTCGCGCACCGATCCCATACACTTCTGGACAGCCGACCAGTCGACCAGCGCGAGCTCACGTCGCGGGTGTACGGTAGCGCGAACTGTCTCGAAAGTGCGTCGTCACTAGTCGTCGCGCATCCTTCAAGACATCCACCACATCGACATCGAGCGGTGGAGCGATTCGCGTCTAGTGTGTGGTCAGTGGCAGCTGAGTGGTCGAGTATACGAAAACTGTTACAGCTGCTACGGCCTGCTGGCTGAAGCTGTCTGATGCGCTGGTGCAACGAGACGAACGACGATCGAGACGCAGCATCGATTCAGGACCAGCCTACTGCCACCGCCCATAGCGAAGACCCAGCTTTTGATGGCGCCCACGAGACAACACCAACCCGCACGCACCCATGCACACACACACACACCCGCACACACGTCGGCAGTCTCTCGGTGGTTGTCGTTAATGCGCCCTTCTCGCTTCCATGCACCCTCCCCTCTCATCCCCCTACGGCGGTGGTC